TTAAACTTGGAATTAGTAATAATTATTTTATTGTGTATTAGTGCGCTGGTGTGTGGCTATTGTTTTGATTAGTAGCGATTGTATAGTAGTTATTTCTCGGTAGTGATTTATACGGTAAGAATTTACATTATATTATTAGTAGCATTTTTCTTGGTACAGTAGTAACTTTTGCATTTGATAGTTTATTACTGATAACAATAAGATTACTAAAATTCGTCAATCTAAAATTACTAAAATTCATCAATCTAAGTCACTATTAATAATAATAAGATTATTTACTAAAATTTTGAATAAGAATTACTAATAAAAATAATCACTACTAACATCATAAAATTACTACAACAAAATTGATAAATTACTACTAATTTAAGTAGTCTTAATTTTTTAGTGTTAAATTTTAGGTAATGTCTATTTATTTTCTGTTGAATTGGTAATGTCTATTTTTTATCCAAACATTTTTCAGATTCTTTCTATTATCCAAACCTATTAAAATATATTAATTATCCAAATCTTTCATAATACATCAAAATATTAGCCATTTTTACATTATCGTTAATAATTTTGTAAATCTTTTCTTAGTTAAAATATTAAAATTTTGGAATGTTGACCTTCATGAGTCTCTTCCAAGTCATTATCAATTTGCCAAGTCAATATTACTAACAAAATTGCTAACTGGAAGTTAACATTTGGCTAATTATTAGTATTTCGATAAGTTTGGATAATATAAAAGAATATGAAAAAGGTTTGGATAAAAAATAAACATTACCCTTAAATGTTTTTCACGTATGAATTTTCTGAGAGAGAAGAAACATATATTAAAATATAATTTATTTACTAAATCTAATTTCTTGAAACACCGAATATGCACTCACTACCTCCATTATTTTATTTTACTTAAAAATAATGAATGTTGATTAGAGTGATTAGTATGTGTTAGAAATCGAACATATAAACTAGGGTTACCGAATCTAGCTGAGTCGCAGACTAGGTCGCTCTCTTTAAGATGTTCGCGACACTGCCTCGTAATGCGCACAACAGATTATCAGCCGGTCACCTCCAGGAGAAAACAACCACTCACTAAATTTGCTCGACGGTTTTGTGCGAAAATCGGAGCTCTCTGAATCTCACCCTCTCCCTCATGTTTCTGCTCTCTGAGGTGTCTTTAGAGGGTCTAGAGGTCTGCTATTTATAAAAGCAGAAAACCTAGAATATTCCCTCTTTTTTTGGGAATAAGCCACATTTTAATTAGGAAGATAATTACTCTTATAATTAAAATGCATTATATTAAGTTAATTAATCCTAATTATTTCCATAATATTTCTTTTATTAATTATCGATCTTATATTCATATCTAGAAAGAATACTGGATAATTAATTCAATATAACTTTCAAAACTATTTATTCCAACAGTATGTTTCTAATCTCCAAGAAATTAGCACTTTAACTCGTCCATAATTAAAAAAAAAAAAAAGGAAAACTATGATTAAGCGTGATAGTCGGCGAGAGAGACCATCCATAGTCAACTCACAACTGTTCACGTAAGGGAGAAGAAAGAGGTGCTGATGAAAGGAAGAGGTGCTGACATGCTAACAAATTACTAAATAATGCACACCATACCACCAGTTTTGTGTCCAAATGTGTGTTTGGTGAAACAGATGGTGACATTTTAACAAAATCTCCACTCTTTTGGCCTCCATTTGTGGTGGGATGCATGATTACTGATCTACTAAATATGTATTCATTTTTTTCTTTGATGACAATTACGTGTACATTTAAAAAAGAATACATATTATAGTGTTTTATATATATGGTAATGACTAGTATACTTTAGGTGATTTGGCCGTTACATCTTACTTTGATGAACTCCGACCAATCTCAACGGTTAGTTATTATTTTCTATTAAATTGAACTTCGGGTTTGGGTTTAGAGAATCATGGCCTGGTATTTATCCATTAAAAGTGAGAGTATAATATCATACCACAATTTGATTTAATTCATGGTCTAGATAATTATATTTATCCAGAAGTACACCAGTCTTTGCCTTACTGAACTACTACTGCATTATGCCAAAGGTAATATAGCCTAGCGGTGAAACCGTTGGTCTGGTTGGCTCAGGATGTGAGAGGTACTGAGTTCGATCCCCAGCAGCGCCGTTTGTGTGTTCTCGGAGGCATGCCTGAGTGCCGGGGACGAAGTCTCCCCAAGTTTAGTAGATCACTGCTGTCACAAAGTGGCATGTGGGGTTGATGGCATGTGGGGTTGAGGTTCCTTGGTTATTAAAAAAAAAAAAAACTACTACTGCATTATAACTTTAGCTTATCAATAATACAACCTCCCTTGGCTGCATTCAACACTAGTTCATGCTTAATTCCTGATAATACGTACTCTCTGTCGGTCTCTCTTGACATATAGTTCAATTTCTTAGTATATTATAAAAAATGAATTTCATTGTTAAGTAATTTTTATTTCCATGAGCGTGTAAGATGTTTAAATTTCGGTAAATATGTACTCTGCTATTTTACGGGTAGTGGGGTAGTTTTTGTTTGGGATTAAAAGTGGCCCGAACAATAGTATATGGATTCAGAAGGTTCTACCCTGATTAATCTTGTCGGAAAATCCACTCTCTAGTATAAAATACCTAAGGGAGAAATTTTACAATGCTATATAGTATTGGTGCTATAGGTTTTTATTTTTATGGTACAACTTCAAGTTGTACATTTAACGTTATGGTATAACTTCAGCTTGTACTTATACTATTTTACAAATTCTTTTATGGTACAACTTGAACTTGTACCTTTATGTGATGGTACAACTTCAAGTTGTGAAGTTGTACCATAACATAAGGGTATAAATTCATTTATGGTACAACCCAAATTTGTACATTTTACGTTATGGTACAACTTTAAGTTGTACATTAAAGCACCTATGCTTTATAGCATAATAGAAATGCTCATACCTAAGGTCCCGAATAAAGATATGTGTGGTCTACAATGATCGCCTTTCAGGCCAACCCTATTGAGGCACTTCTTATCTCAGTGGTATTGACTTTAGGCAAATGCGTGTGACCAGCTCGATTAAGAGGTAGAACTTAGGATATCGATTCGTGGAGCGTGAGCGAGAGTGAAAGCGGAAACGAGAGTGTAAAAGCGTTTATTTTGAGAGAATTATATATTGAAACCGTAAAAAAAAATGTAAATATTATATTATTTTAATTAAAATATTATTTAATATACTACAAATTTTAAAAATATCATCACACATGAGGGAAAATAATTAAAAATTCAACAAATATAGTTATATAAAACGGTAAAGGACACCAAAGTTTTCTGTAAAGAACACTTGTGCTTATCATTGTCACATGGCCCAAACTTAATGAATCAAAATAGTTACTTAACTAGATGGACCCAAAGCCCAAACCTAGGGCCGAAGCTCTAAACCTAGACATTCACACCAACCTCCTTCTTCCTCGTAGCCGCATCTGACTTCTCACCCCCTCTCTCTAATATAGGTGTCAAAAACAGAACCCGTCCGATTAACCCGGCCCGCAACCCGACCACAACCTAAATTGACTAAAAGTCAATGACCCGCGACCCGCCTGACTCGTAACCCAATTGAACCATGACCCGATTAACACGTAACCCGAATAAACCGCAACCCAATTAACCCACTACCCGATTGACCCGTAACCCGATTAAACCTGTAACCCGATTGACCCGAACCACATTAGCCAGAACCCGACTAACACGTAATCCACTTGATTGACCCGAAAAATTACTATATTATATATTCTTATAAATTTTCAAAAAGAAAGTTTGTTTGTTGTTAGACTAAGTAAAAATATTTTTTCATTTTATAAAGAAAAGTTCAAAATGAGTTGAAATTATGTATTTTTAATAAAAGATAGAAGAGAAAGATATAAGGCGGAGTTTTGATGCATTGGTTTATAGGAAGAGAGAGAAGTGGAAAATTTTGGTGTCTTCAACTTTTTGGGGAAAAAATAAGAGGGGAATTTGATGCTTAAATTTTTGGGAAAATGAAGAAGGGGAGTGTTGCTGTTTTGGTTTATAGGAAGAGAAAAAAGTAAAAAATATTGGTGTTTTCAAATTTTTGGAGGAAAAAGAAGAGGAAAATTTGGTGCTTCCAGTTTTAGGGAAAAAAAGAAGAGAGAATTTTGGTGCTTTGGTTTATAGAAAGAGAAATAAGTTGAAAATTTTGATGTTTTCAACTTTTTGAGGAAAAAATAAGAAGAGGGAAATTTGGTGCTTCAAGTTTTGGTGATTTTGATTCATAGGAAGAGTACAGGGTGTGAAATTTTGATGTTTTTGATTTATGGAAAGAAACATTAGAGAAAAGTTTTCTATTTTCATTTTTTAAGAGAAAGAAGAGAGAAAAATTATCACAATGTTTACATATGATAATTTACGAGTTTAATTAATAATCAATTTAATTATCACAATGTTTACATATGATGATTTAGGAGTGTAACATTTAGTGATTAAAATATTGTCTATACTCTATAACAAACCTTACTATAGCTTTTAGGCATGACTAGTTTGATATAGTAGATTTGAGAACATGTAAAGAGTTAAAAGAGTTATCCTATCTCAAATACATATTATTTTATATTTAGGTTGAAAACTTAATCTTACTCACTAATTCTCTCACCTCATTCTCATTTAGGTGAGAAACATCCCCCCTCATTTTGATATCTTCATCCCAACTTTTCACTTCTCCAATGTTTCTCTTCCCACCTTTTGTTCTTCTCATTTTGCTTTCCCTCTACAATTTGTCTCTACCAAAATCTAATGAGGAAATATTCCATCCAATTCGGCCCACCAATGTTTCAATTCCTTTAATATTAAGCCTAATTTCCATCTCTCATAAACTGTTGTTTATAATATTAGTGTCTTGTCTAGATTTTGCATATGGATATAAAATAGGATTATTGATTGACAATGACATGCAAAAAATTTCCGTGAACCTTGATTCATAAGTTTTTTTGTTAAACAAAAAGTTTATACTTCACTGAGTATTAATCTTGTAAGTTATTATATATATAATTCATGTCTTTTTTCTACTCAATTTTGCTTCCCGTTGCATTGCCACCCAATTTTCTTTTTGCTTGATATATATTGCCGCCCAACTTTTTCATTCTCGCTCCAAAAGGCCGCCCAATTTTTGTTTGGATTGATCAATATTGCCGCCCAATTTTCGTTTGGATTAATCTATATTGCTTCCCAAAAATGTTGAGATAAGAAAAAAATGTTTTTCTTCGTTGTTTTTAGAGTGGTGTTTTGCTTGGTTTGCTAATAGTGTCCATTGGTTGCAAATGTTGATATCATCACCATTACTATTATCTAGTGCACTTTACCAATTATGATTAATTATATGACAAGTTTGCAAATCATACAATTTTTTTTTGGGTAATAGGACGGAGCGAGGCGGCGCTCCAACCGGTTAACTTAACACAAAGCGAGGGGTCTGGATACCCATTATACCATAGAGCAGTAGGTGATTCAACGTCGAGGAGGGTTCCGTGATCGTATGCTCGCCCACGCTAAGAGAGTGCCCCAGCGAGGCTAGATAGTCCGCTGCCACGTTCCCCTCCCTGAAAACATGCTTGAGCTCAACCTGCCAGTCTCTACTCAACAGCTGCAGAATTTGGGAGACCAAGATGTAGTGCGGATGCGTCCCGGCGGACTCCCAAATCAGCTCCATACTAGTTCTCGAGTCAGTCTGCACTTGAATTTGCCTTGCGCCCTCTTCCCACGCCATCCTCAATCCAATTGCGATCCCCATTAGTTCAGCTCTCGTGATAGAACCTCCCCCAAGTTTGACGTGAATGCTCAGACGAACTGCCCATCATCTCTACGTATCACCCCTCCTGCTGCAGCGCTTCTCTGAGCATACACCACTGACCCATCACAGTTTAGACAGAACCAGTCTCTCGGCGGTCGCTTCCAGGCTATGAGCTCCCTTCTTCTCGTCTTTCCATATTCTATATCCTTTTCCTTTGCCCATGCTAGCTGAATCTGATGATACCACCATTCCACACATTTTTTAACTTCTACATCTGACCCCAAGCACTTTTTCAAGGACCCATGTATTCCTATTTTTCCAAAGTGACCAGCACACTACTGCAAAGAACGTGGCATCCACCTTCCGCCCTCTCCCTATCAGGTATTGTAACAACCACCTATCCATGTTCTCCTGAAAGAACATTTCATCATCCTCCCCTTCCAAGAAACCCGTCCACACCACCCTTGCGTAGGGGCAATCCCGAAGCACATGAAGAGTGGATTCCGGGCCCTTTCCGCAAATGGAGCAGGTGTCATCATTAGTTAAATGGCGTCTCTTCCTTTCTTCATTAGTGACCAACCTGCGGTAGGTTGCCAGCCAAAGAAAAGACCGTATACGCTGTGTAATTGGAGTTCGCCATATCGACTTCCACAACGCGCGACTCCCGGATGGTACATAGTCTTCATCTGTGAGTTCATAGGCTGTTTTGACAGAGAACTTCCATGAATCAGTAAGCCTCCACAACGTCACATCTACTTCTGCTTCATTAAGTGGCGGGTATAGTAGGACCTGTTGCACCACCTACCGGGGGAGGAAGGCCTGAATATACTGCACATTCCATTCACCGTTCAGCATCAGGTCCCCCACCGACAATGACCTCGCTACCTCCGGTAATTCCCCCGCCATATCACCTAATGAAGGACCATCATGTAACCATCTGTCTTCCCAGAAGCGCACACTTTTCCCATTTTTGACGTTCCACATGAGGGCCTCCGGAAGGAGGTGGAGAACTCGTATTACCCCTCGCCACAAGTTGGAGAGTCTCCCTGATGTGCGTGGCTGCCATCCTCCGCCTCTCTCTCGTAAGTATTTGGCCCTGACAACTCGTGCCCATAAAGCTTCTGGTTCTGAGAGGAGGCGCCAAGCGATCTTTAGCATAAAAGCTTCGTTCATCCTTGTAGTCGTTCACAGACCAAGCCCACCTTCCTCTTTAGGTCTGCAAACTGCACTCCAGTCAACAAGGTGGATCTTTTTCCCCATCTCCGAACTTCCCCAAACGAAAGCTCTGATCTTCTTGTCAACATAGTCTCTAACACTCGCAGGGAGAAACGAGGTCTGCATCGTGTAAGCAAGCAAAGAGGATAGCACTGATTGCGCAAGTGTAATCCTAGCGGCTAGACTTAGAGATTTAACTTTCCATCCTGCAAGACGAGAGTCAATTCGGTCAATGAGCGCATTATAGGTATCTTTTGAGACTCGATCGTGTATTACAGGCACCCCAAATATCTTCCCAAATTCTTCGTCTCTTGTATTCCCAGTTCTGCACTAATAGAAGCGCCCACCAATTCCATGACATTGCCGGAGAAGAACACCCTTGACTTCGGACGACTGACTTGCTGGCCCGACGCTGAACTGAAACACTCAAGAAAACTATTGATGATCGCTGCTTGCTCAATTGTCGCCTCCCCCATCAAGATGAGATCATCTGCAAAAAACAAGTGCGACAAATCCGGGCCTTTACTCGAAATTCGGATGGGTTTCCATGATTTATTCTCAACCGAGGCGCTGATCAGATGGCCCAACCTCTCCATGCACAGAGTAAAAATGTAGTATGGCGAGAGTGGGCATCCTTGATGTAGGCCCTAGGACGGTGAGAACTCCTCAGTCAACCCTCCATTCCACTGCACCTGCATTGTCGGTGAGGTTATACACTGCATGGTCAGCTTTCTGAACTCCTTTGGTACTCCTGCGGCTTGAGAGTGTCTCAAACAAAGCACCACCAGATACAGTCATAGGCTTTGGCGAGATCGATCTTTTGTACCATCCAACCTGTTCTCCCCTTCTTAGCGCGCATAGAGTAAACTACTTCCTGCAAAATACAGATATTGTCAGTAATGTGACGACCCGGGACAAAGCTGGTCTGGGTTTCAGCCACCAGACGTGGCATGAGGGGCTTCAACTTCTCCGCCAGGCCTTTCGTAATAATTTTATACGCCACGTTGCACAAGCTGATCAGACGAAACTGCTAGAGGAGGGTCGGTTTGGCAACCTTGGGGATGAGAACTAAGATGGTAGCATTCACCCTCTTCACTTTCCGTGGATCCTCCCAGCAGCTCCGTGCAAACTGGATCATATCCTTGCCAACAAACTCCCAACACTTCTTGTAGAAGAGTGGATTAAGACCATCCTTCCCCGGTGCCTTCAAGGATCCCATTGCAGCAACTGCTTGGTAGAACTCATCATCCGTAACGTTCATGGTAAGAGCCTCCCACGCATTTTGCGGCAAGTTGCTGAATCCGGATGGTAAGCTTGCGGCAGGATCGCCATTATCCAGATACAGCTGGGCATAGTAGTTGCGTGCCAAGTCCTGAAGTATAGCCTGATCTTCTTCCCAGTTACCCAATTCGTCCTTCAAAGCCACAATGCGGTTTCGCCGTGTCCTTTGTGTAACATCTCGAACCTTTTCCCGACGAAGATATTGTCCGCTTTGGGCCTCGACCCTCACGGTTTTTGACTTGGGGTGCAATTCAAGGTGACTTCCCATAAGGTCACCCATCCTTGTTGTACTCCACACTGAGCACGTTTAACTTCGGAGTTCTCACAAGAACTCCTCCATTACACCTCAAAATGCGTCTTATCAGTTAAGGCCGGTTTCCTACTTATGAACCATGGATCTCTCCCGTGCTTTGTCGATGTGGGATTTGCCTAAGGTGTTACATACACCCCCCCCTTGGGACTCAATGCCCTCGTTGAGGTTTGCCCCACCATCGTTCAAGAGGGATGCAGAGAGGCTCTGATATCACTTGTAACATCCCGAACCTTTTCCCGACGAAGATATTGTCCGCTTTGGGCCTCGACCCTCATGGTTTTCGACTTGGGGTGAAATTCAAGGTGACTTCCCATAAGGTCACCCATCCTTGTTGTACTCCACACTGACACGTTTAACTTCAGAGTTCTCACAAGAACTCCTCCATTACACCCCAAAACGCGTCTTGTCAGTTAAGGCCGGTTTCCTACTTATGAACCATGGATCTCTCCCGTGCTTTGTTGATGTTGGATTTGTCTAAGGTGTTACACTTTGCATCACCCGATTATGAAAGAACTTTGTGTTTCTATCCCCCGACACTATCCCTTCCGATTGAGCTTTCTGGCACCAAAAGAGTTCTTCTTGTAGAAGAATTTCTTCGAGCTCGTTGCATAAGGTATTCAACTATTCTGTCCAAATCCCCTCTCCCCGAACTTTCTACTCGCTCGATCTGCATGAGCAGTTTATTCTTCTTTCTCATTATGTGCCCGAAGACCTCCACATTCCACCGTCTCGCCTCGTCCACAAAGGAAGTAATCGAACTAGTAAGGTCACTTCCTTTATTCCAAGCTAAGCACGCCATATCTCGAAAAGCTTCATGGGTCAGCCATGCTGTCGGGAACTTGAAGGGTTTAGGCCCTCCTGGACCAAACTGAGGGGCAGTACTTATAAGTAATGGTCGATGGTCAGATTTGATTCTAGGTAAGTGCCGTAGTCTCAGGGAACTCGGTAGACCACCGGAGATTCCCCAAACCTCTATCTAACCGTTCCCGCACCCCTGTCTTGAACCAGGTGAAAGGGGGTCCCAAAAACCCCAGATCGACCAGACCCGTATCCAACACACACGCCTAGAAATCCCTCGCCCTATGACTGTCGAAGGCTGCTCCCCCCGGACTTCTCCGACGCATGGAGGATCGTATTATAGTCACCTGCCGTAAATTGCTGTAAACAGCCAGCAACTCATCCCACAAGTCACATCCACATGCAGTGGCGGACCCAGAAATTTTTCATAGGGGTGTCCTCTTTTAAAAAATAAATTTAATAAAAATAAAAATAATTAATAAAAAATAAAAATAAAATTGTAAATATGAAAATACCTTATTCGTATAAGTTAAAAAAGTCCATGATATATTTTCATATTCCGAAATAATTGTATAATACACTTGGTATCTATAGTGTTAAAAAATTGTCTCTATATACACTACTAGACAATCATTCACGAACTTATCACATATTCGATTTGTAAACTTGTTCTTGATGTAGCTCAAAGCTGAAAGACTCTTTCAACACTTGTCATACAATCATAAAATCAATACAAATTAAGGGTAGTTTGAAATTAGTTTAATTGTTAGGTTTTTTAAATAATTAGAGATAGGGAATGTCATTTTACTCACATTGTTCAAAATCGAACAACAAATGAGTTTAGCTCAACGGAAATTAAGTTTATTAATAATAATAGTGTTCTAGATTTGAATTATCCAACCTACCACTTATATTCCTATACACAAATGACATAAGGATAATCATTTTTTCAAATTTAAGGGGGTGTCCTTCACTATCAATTATATTTTTTTGTCCATACGTAAATTATTACCAGGGGTTGGATAATCGTTTTCCCAAAATTTAGGGGTGTCCGGGGACACCCCTAAACCCCCTTGGGTCCGCCCCTGTCCACATGGAGAAGTTGAGAAGAACGAGACACTTCAGTAATGGTTGTTGTTGCCGAGTCCCATAATAACCAAATCCCACTAGAAAACCCCACTGCCTCAACTACTAATTCCTTGTCGAAACCCATTTTGTTAATAACCTCCGCTACTTTGACTCCACTGATTCGCGGCTCTACAATCACCACAATACCCGGTTGGTACCGTCTCTTGTATTCTCTAAACACACGCAAGAAGCGTTTACTTCCTGCTCCCCTGCTATTCCATACAAATAACTTCTGATCCATTAAACACACGATGGAGATAACCAGGGTGTCCCTTCCTTCCAAACTAGTTGTAGACTACAGAAGGAGCCAAACATGGCTCCTCTCCTGCAATATTCTTAGACTTCACGAAAGCATCCCCTTCCAATGCTCCTAGATGATTCTCGTCTACCATAGTAGCTTTGTCTAGAGGTAAGCCAGCGGGTTTGGCCGCTCCTCCTCCTGCATTATGAATGCGTTCCTTGCCCACCATCTTGCTTAGTCCTTGGGTTCTGTTTGGCATCGAACTAGCTCTTTCCGGGTCGGCCAGCACATTTCGATTCTCCCCTGTAGGCAACTTATGTGTATCAGTATTTCCTCCACTTCGCAGTTGCGCCTCCACTGATTTCTCAGGGTTTCTGGTTCCCTTATTGCTTTCGCTAGTCTGGGAGTGTGTTCTCGGGACCCATTTCTGAGTACTCTGCATACCAGTTTGTCTCTTCCCTTCCTGTCTCAACTCGGGGTTCTTCTTCACTTTCTCCTTGGGATTGTGGTGTCGTTGATCACCTGCAAAGTCCTGTTCACAAATCATACAAATTGATTCAACATTTTGACTATTTTTTTTAAAAAAATTAAGTATATATATGAGGTAGAATAAGTGGGCTAAATATTGTGAATAATATTCTAAATTAGTGTAATAAAATGTGTAAGTTGGTAGCGAGTAAGGAATAAGTAACTCGATGCGTTGTCCCGAAAAATCCTCAACCCACTCGTCCCGAAACCCGTTGAACCCCCAACCTGATTTGGCCTTAACCCGATTGAACCCAAACCTGATAAACCTGCAACCCGACTAACCCGCAACCTGATTGAACCCGAATCTGATTGAACCCAAACCCATAAACCTGCAACTCGACGAACCCGAAATCAAACTAACCCGCAACCCGATTGACCCTGATCCGAACCCGCCCGATTGACACCTATACTCTCTAATCCCCCTTGTTCAACACCTTATTCCTTCCTCATTGTACAACCTTCCATCTCTTCAAACGTAAACAAGAACTGATGATGATTCCCAAAACTTAGGTAACTCACCCTCTGCTTGAATTTAACAGCAATATCGTTCATCGTCTACCAACATTATCCTCTCCCAGTTCAAGATCTCTCTGATCAACCAAGCCTCTTCAGATGCAGATCCGACCTCTTGGCTTCCCTCCACAAACCGACCGACGATTCCACCCCCTTCACCAAATCAAGTCATCATCGTCATTAGTTCTTCTTCTCTTTTGTTCTATCCCTGTGAAATACAACGCGAATTACCCAGCGAAAATCGCGCTCCAATAGATAATAAATCACGATTTTTTTGCGAATCCATTCAAAATCGTGGTTTTGCGCTCTAAAGCGGGAGCGCCTACCCCTTTCACACGAATTGTGTGACCTAAAGTAAAACCCGAATTGCACAGGAATAAGAGTGTGTGGTGACAACCTACCCCACCTTGAGTAGTAGATAGTAAATTCCCCAATCACAATAGTGATCTAGCAAATGGAGGTTTAACATATATACCCTGTGGGAGTGGTCCACGCAAACAAAAGGAATAGCCACATAAGTAGTGTTTGTCAGAAATTTCAGAATCTTGATGGTTGGCCTGCTCATCCTTTGATATGTCCAAGTCCAACATACTAGATCAAGCTGATCCGACATGTTAAACCCTAGCTAACTTCCTCCCATTTTTCATAAATATCGAGCCTCCTGCCCTCATTATGTGTAACGAATGATCCCTCCTTGAACTCAGTACCTTTTCTCTCATCACTTTCAAGGTTTATCCTCACTAACTTTATTGGAAAAGCACATATCTAGGCTACAAAGGATGAGTTTTGTGCTGTTTTGTAGGTTAGGCTAGGGCTAGTAAACGATCGATAACCAGTTAATCGATTACCGTTTGACCGGTTATCGGTATGCCGGACATCATCACCCCACTGCCATTTACCGATACCAAAATAGATTCGGTAAACTGTTACCGGAATGGGACGGTACCGGTATTGTGCTGGTTACCCGTTTTACCACTAAGGGGCGAGGATGAACTTTGTCCGCCAATTAATTCTGCAACAGAAGGTTGTGAGTCTGTGACGGTGTACAGGAAGGGTGGGGAGGGGACTGGGGATTTTCTGCTCCATTATCATTGTGTAGAGTGAGAGTTAATGGTGGTTGGTGCTTTGGTGGTAAAAGGCTGAAAGCTTTCTTTCTTGTTGTTCCATGCCTCCATTAATCAATTAATATGTCAATTTGGCCATTTGTGCCTCCATTAATTCCCTTGTTCGGTTGCTCCTCTGCTCGACAATAACATACACAGCCATGCTGCAAAAGCCAAAAGCAAACCACAAGTCACAACAGAGACACAACTGCTCGGCTCGGCTTGGAGATAACAATTAACACCGAAACACGTACAGTGAATCAATTAACAAATTACAAATCAAATTTCAAAATATGGAGAGGACGGACTGAATTGCTTGGCTGCTGGGTCGAGCAATTAAGCTCTAGCGGCGGCAGTGGTCTACGGAAACGGGACCGACGGGGGTCGACGGGAACAGAGCCCGACGAAAATGGAGCCCGAAGTACCGTACTGGGCTGCTTCGTGGCTCGAGCGTGCTCCAGCAACGGAGAGGAAAATAATGCTGCAGGTTTTGGTCGGCCGACGATTGGATTCGAAGAGTGAGGAGGAATCGGGTGGCGTGAGTTGTCGTTTGACGTTTAGGCAGCGAGCGATGCAAATAGATTAATAGACTATCAACTAATTACAAGGACCTAGGTTAATTACTTCGATAGGGAGGCTTAGGGCCTTGGGGCGACGTTTGCTGGGCTATTCGGTATCGAGTTACCGAAGTTCCGACGGTAAATAACCGAAGCCATCTTAGTATACCGCTTCCCCCATTCTCACATCCGAATACCGTTCCATATGGTTAACGGTTTATCCGATAACCGTGGTTACTGGTACGGTTACAGGTTAAACCGTTAACCGCAATACCGTTTACCAGCCCTAGGTTAGGCGACTGAAAGTCAACCAAAGGATACGCATTCACTTTCCATGGATTCTTCTCAAATGTGGCCTAAATCCAAATTTATGGATCATGTCGTTTAACCAAGACTAACTCAATATAGACCGAAATGATTGGCACCCACCATGGAGCATCACTGGGAAAAATTCTAAGAAAACACTGATTCTAAACCCAAAATATCATTTTCCTCATGGAAAAAATATAATCTCTCGATGTTAGATACCAAAAACCTAGCTAGAGGTAAAGCCCTGGTGATTAATGGTTAGCCATCAAATCTAAAACCATGGCATATCGAATATTTCGGAATTGTGCACCCATCCTCCATGGGCATGAATGCAATCCTATCATCGACTTTGGAAATGAGGCATGAATGCGAAATCCTTTTAGGAACAACACACTGTTCCTGTTAAAGAAGTTGATGAGATAGATGCTGAGAATTAACAAGGAGATTCGAACACGGGTTCACTAGACTCTAATAGCATGGGAGTGGTAGAGTAAAACAAGACATTCCAAGTAAGAAAAGGACATAGAACCAGAAATAACACGTTTGAATCTACCCCTAAATGCGTAACTAGGGGGACGATTGTTAGGACTTAGATTTGGAGAACCCTAGTCATGCAGTCCATAGACTCGGCTTGCAGGCCCAACGTGGAATTACCTCATGTGATTCTTGCTACAGGAAAAACCCAGCCAGATTTAGGAAAATCCCCGACTGGGGAATTGGTCCAGAATGCTCCCCGGTCAAGTGCAAATAATACCCGATCGAGTATTTAGACTGAGTTTCAAGGCCTGCCAATTTTTGTTACCTTTTTCATTTAGGATGTTTTTCCTTTTTTTGTGTTTTCATTAGGTTTGTTTTCCATACCTATTTAAAAGGTTGTAAGCCACGAATTTGGGCAGATTATTCAGACTTTTGATAATGGAAAAACCTTTTTCGGTTCAATGAGTTTTATTCTTGAATTTTGTCCTTGTTTGTTGGCCGATCTCCAGTATTTGAGCGAGCTATGTATCAATCAGGTATGCCCCTTGATTTTGGTCGAGTTGCTACCCTTTATATTGTTAGAGCCTCTTCTCGATTTGTGTTGAAGTTGCACGGTAATTCCACCCTGTCTTTTACTTTCGAGTTGTTGAGAGAAAAAATAAGAAAATCCTAAAAAGATCGAAGATGTGTGACTTTGATCAAAAGAACCTAAACTTTCACGAGCTTGGAATTTTTATCATTACCCGTTGTGGCCGAGTTTTGTACTATTTTTAGAGTTTGTTTTTACCTTAATTGTTTCCTAGTTACATTAGGTTTGTATTAGGTTTTTATTGCCTTTAAATAGCTTTCAAATTCACGTTGTAAGATAGATTGAATAGAAAAGAAACCGTTTGGTTTTGCAAGTTTGCGAACTTGTTTTGGGTTTGGTGGATTTCAAACTTGCTGAGCTTTGTATCGATTGAATAGTCCCGTCAATCGTGGTCGAGCAACTACCCTTTTATACCATACGAGCTTTCCCCAGGTGTGGAATTGTGCGTTGGTTCCGTTTTATCCAAATTACGTATTAAGAACGCGTTGTTCTTGATTCGAGTTCAATCAATCTTCGGATTGATTGTTTGCTGCGTGACTTTGATAAAAATACACCCCCTAGGGTCGTATTCAGTGTTATCAGAGCCCGGTTCTACACAAGGGCAATGAAGAGGCGAAGACGTGTTGATTCGTAGGAGCAGATTTTGTCAAAAAAAAAAAAAAACAGGGCAGCCATGGTTGTTGAATTGGAACAAGCGAATTTGACGTCATATACTCATTGTTTGGTGGATTTCAAGCTTGTGAGCTCTTGTATCGATTGAATAGTCACTTCAATCGTGGTCGGGCATTTATCATTATACCAATCTAGCCTTTCCCCAGGTGTGGAATTGCACTTTTGATTCCGTTTTATCCAAGTTCGTATTAAGGACGCTTCATTCTTGATTCGAGCTCAATCGATCCTTCGATTGAGTCGTTAGCTGCGTGACTTTGATAACATGCACCCCCCAGGGGCGTATAAAGGTGTGCTTTATGTACATCAATCAAGAGAGCAAATCAAACATGATTAGCTTACGAGCAGTGTCGAAATTGGGGTTTCCGATTCGAAAGCATCCATCTCCTTACTCGACGTCGTTGCTAAAAATAGGAAGCTCTGTTTTTGTAACAGAGGAGGTGATCTTACCTTTTCGAATTGGAAGCTACGAGGATGAGGTTCGGTGCGATGTGGTGCCTCTGAAGATGACTCATGTGGTGCTTGGTGATCCTTGGCACGTCGATTGCGGAGCTCGACGTAGCAGAAGCACAAAACACATCAGAATGCGGCATTGTGGGAAGCTTTTCGCTCTCAAGCTTCTGTCGCCAGAAGAAGCTGCTCAAGATAGGGCGACCTTGCTACAACAGCTGCGAGACGAAGAAGACCGAGCTGAGGCAGTCGCGACTTCAATTGGGGAGCCGTCGTTGAAGGCGCTCGAGTTCCAGTTCGTTGAAGAAGAGCATTCCAACAAAGAGGAGTCCCTCTGCTCTTCGACGGACGCGCAAGGGAGGAGAGAGAGTGAAACAGGGAGAGCAATCGGGTCGCGCGGAATGAAATTAATAGCGTCAATACACTCCATTATGTGGCAGAAACGTGCAGCGTGAATCGATTAGGGTCTGACAGCCGAGAATCGATAATCCCCATATTGGTTTTCTCGTCCCCAAAAGCGCAGAGTAACGAGCAAAAGAAGGAAGAACCAGTTTCGGAGTTTGGAGATGAGTCAACGCAAGCCAACACTTGGGATCAATTTATAGGTTCACAAGGATGGTGTGTGAGCACAAATATTGGTACGAAACGGTCAGAATCACTATTCCCCAATGTCAATTTTTGCTCGTCGAAATCTGGGATTAACTAGCCGAATTCTGGGGATAAAAAACTTCCCGACGGCGGGAAACACGGAAATAGTGATTGGAGACGATTTGGATGTGTTCGACGCGCGGGAGAAGGGGGGATTGACTCCTGGAGACCAGTCGCATCGATTGGGAGCAACGAATTTGATCAAGATGGCCCCCAGAAGAAATCCCTAATCTCCAAGAACTCGCTGGAGTCCTTGCCGGCGCCGGAAATGGGAAATTTTTTGCCGGAAATCGTACGTTTGCCCAATCCGATTTTGGGTCAAAATTTTGTCAATTTTTGTGTGGCAGGTGAGTCTTGGAAAACTATGAAGGCATTGGAACAGATCGAAGGTCAATTTGAAGCTGGCAAACTTATGGCAAAAATCGTGTTTGAGCAGCATTCTTTCGATCTAATTTGGGATCAATTATGTGTACGGTTTGAGCAAAGAAAGGCCAAAGTGTTGAGGGAAACACTTTTTCAAGAGGGAGGGCTTGATATGATCCCAAATGGTCAACTATATACCCTTAAATTACTTGACGAAGAAGCTATCGAAGTTGGGAAGAAGGGCAGAATTTGGCTGTGTCAAAATCCGTGTTCAGGGTACATACTTTGGAGGCATGGTTCTCTCAATTGGCTTGGTGGAAATTCAAGTTTAAGGGTTTGTTTTGCAGATAAAGTTTCCATCTTTTCAATGGTATGCTTTGTGTATCCAGAAGATGTATGAAAGGCGCGAAGTTAGTAAGAAAGCTGCCTTTTGACTGTTTTGCTTGCAGCTTACTTGTGCGCCAAGAAAGGAAGTTTGTGGCCGAAGAAAGGAGGTTTGTATTAGGTTTTTATTGCCTTTAAATAGCTTTCAAATTCACGTTGTAAGACAGAGTTGATTGAATAGAAAAGAAACCGTTTGGTTTTGCAAGTTTGCGAACTTGTTTTGGGTTTGGTGGATTCCAAACTTGATGAGCTTTGTATCGATTGAATAGTCCCTTCAATCGTGGTCGAGAAACTACCCTTTTATACCATACGAGCTTTCCCTAGGTGTGGAATTGTCCGTTGGTTCCGTTTTATCGAAATTTCGTATTAAGAACGCGTTGTTCTTGATTCGAGTTCAATCAATCTTTGGATTGATTGTTTGCTGCGTGACTTTGATAAAAATACACCCCCAGGGTCATATTAAACTCCCTCTCCCGAATCTATGTTCTTCATGTAAATGGCGAACTATGTTGGGTTTTTAGGATGAGCTGCAGAACTAACTAAAGTGAGGGTTTCAATGATTATTGCCTCCTCTTAATACGCTACTAGGGACCGATTGTCACCTCAGTCAAAGCTCACGTACTAAGGAATAAACCCTAGTTTCTCTCAATAGGTTCAACCTGTCATGTAGACTATTAATTAACTCATAGAAAGTAATTCACAATCATCATAGAATTCACAGCCCTTAACAAATAGACTAGCAATACAAAGAAGAATGGAACAAAATCACCATAGATACAAGCATTGACGGTGAATGCTTATCCTCCGAATCTCAACACCAACTCTCCTACTCTCTATGGATTGCTACTCATGCCTAGTAGGGGTAGAGTGCTGGGTAAAAGGTGTGTGTGTAAAGTCTAGGCCTGTGCCTCTTTTTATACTAGTTACATAAGGGGGTTTTCTAGTCTTTTTCCACCTAAACTCGGCCAAAAACTTGATGGTTCAAACATGCAAGTGAAAAAGTCGTAGGATGTCCTAGGGTCATATCCGACAAGGTCATCTAATGCATAACTACTCACACCATACCTCCATGCTCGAACAGTAATAGTAAAGACTTTTGGGGGTTTTCTAGTAAATCATGAAAGTAAATGAAACAATGAAAAACGAAAGATGTATATGGGTTATGAATGAAATTGTGAATGAAATTGTGCTACATAATGAACTAATGAGTCTATCTCTCTATTTATAAAAGTAGGACTAGGCAAAAAACTTCCTAACCCTACTAGGACAAGGTCTCTCTAACTTGGGGCTGAAACATGGCCTAAAAACCTTTATTCGGGCTTGGAACTTGGAATGGTGGTTGGAACCACCACTGGTTTTCTTAGTGGACTAGACTCCTTGGCCCATAAGCCACCTCTCCTGAAGATCTCTCCGTGTTTTGGTCAGGTTCGCTTGGGTGACGGTTGGACCTGACACTGGTTCTTGTCCGGAGGGGTCAAATTTTACTCCATTGGGCTCTAATCATGGTTCACAGTATGTTTCTCTATCATTGGATCTCGTCTTTTACATGAAAACTCCATATTCTTCTCTTGTTAGCTCATTTGGTCCTCCAAGGTATTTCACCTTAAAAGCACAAAAATGCATAAAAGTATAAAAAAAACAACTTAGGTCTATCAAATACTAATTAATTTAGATATAAAATATAAGACATTAAAGATGCATAAATAGGAGGAAAAATGTATTAAATATGAGAGTAACAAATATTATAAATTAAGTTTCATTACCCATTTAAGATCGTTGGTTTCTCTCTCATACTAGCACCACACTTATCTTACTAAAATACTCATTAGACAAGACAACTTATGGGTTAGAGAGTCCAACACATTTTACAATTTGCACCCAAAAAAAGGTGGATCTTGTTCTTACCTCCAGGCGGGATGAGATTAGATGCTAACCCCTTAAGGGGTTAGCACCATCATAACTAACCTAATAGCCTTTAGATCAAAATAATAGTCCTAGGGTTAGAATTAATCAGAGGATGATATATTAAATATCCTCAAACCCTAATATAAATAATAACCTTTTTTATCACACCCTACAGCCGCTTCTCATAATTTCTCTCCAACGTGTCTCTTCCTCCTTTCCCTCTACCTCTTCTCTCTCTCTCACACGATTCCGGCAAGGTGAAACAAAGAAGACGGTGGTCGATGGGGAAGATAGTCAACGCAGAGGAGAAACGAAGAACACGGCCCTTGCCAGGCGATTGCAGTCGACGGCGGAGGAGAAACGAAGAATAATACGCTTGCGGAAGCAGTTGCAGTCGACGAAGGAGGAGAATCGAAGAAGTCGATGATTGTAGAGGCACTCGCTTGACAGGAGAAGCCGAAGAAGCCCAGATTGCAGAGGCGGAGGTCGTAGGGGGAGATCTGGATCGCAGAGGTCGTGCTTGCTCGCTCAGGCGATATGGCCAGAACCATTAAGCTTGTATCGGTGGGTCGGCGCCTACGATAAAGCAACGTGTTTGGTTGGCTAGAAGTGACGAACGAGTAGAGATCAATATTGTATTCTTCTTAGGGATTGTGTAGTAGATCTGAATATTGGGGTAGGTATTTTGTAATAGTGGTTTCCATTATCCAGTAGTGATTTTACTAAAATTCGACGACGACTACTACATAATAATCGGTAAAACACTACTAATTATATTAAGCAATAATATTAGTAGTGATTGTATAGTAGGTATTTTGTAATAGTGGTTTCCATTATCCAGTAGTGATTTACTAAAATTCGACAACGACTACTACATAATAATTGGTAAAATACTACTAATTATATTATAATAACTACTATATGCCACCAAAATAACTACTTAAAAATCAATGAACACTAATAACTAGATTAAAATAACTAGACATAAGAATCATATTTTTTTAGTACTATTTTTCACGTCAAATATTTCTTTAAGAGAGAAGAAAAGTATTTTAAATTTTAATTTATTTATTAAATTTAATTTCATGAGATACCGAACATATCCTTTATTAATTCCCACCACCAAATTTACTTAAAACTAATAAACAATGATTAGAGTGGTTAGTACGGTATAACCCCTATGGAGTTAGCACTCTAACTCTTCCCATCAAGGCATGAGATATCTTACTAAGGAGGTGAATCAACTTGGGGTTTCAGTAACCTCCAAAATTATTTACTTGGCTTAATTCAAGGATTCAAATAAACCCTTAACAATAATAATTAGCTTCATAAATATTCAAAGTCCAAGGGCCTTTGAATAAGTTACTGGTGCAGAAGCTCTAAAGCTTTCAACAGAGTGGGTTTAAACCTATTCATATCAAGCGTTACATTCTGATTGTCCATGTAAATGGAGCTCCATGCCTTCCAACCTTGCTTAACAAACAATTTTGGGTTGGTCAAAACAGCATGATCAGGTGGATACTTCTTCGACAAACTGCTCTCTTCAATCCCAATCTTGTACTCCAAGTACCTTACTCCCATGTCCTTGGTCGGATCCCCGTAAGCATTCTTCGCAATCCAATCTGTATCAAACGGAACAACTTGGATCTGAACCGCGTTCTCGGGGAGAAACACCATGTTCGTCAGAGCAGCTCCATGAACTCCCAGAACCACATCGCACGAATTTATAACCTCTGCCGACTTCGACACATTCGCATCAATTTCTGCAATCGTCACATTGAACCCGAGCTGTACAGCCATCCTCTCGACCTCCTCGACATTTCTCAGCGCTCGAGTCCTTCTCCGAGTAATGATCAAGAGCACCGGCGCCAACTTCTTCCCTCCATCTTGCAGTTTGATGGCAGTTGTCTTCCTCAATGAGTAAGCACTTCTCAAGAACTTCTTGAAGTCGATGATCGTGAACTCGGATTCTGATGTGTTGATACTGAGTTCATTACTCTGCCGCCCTTTTAGGCCTAGTGTTAGCCTTGAGAAGCAATGGATGTTCTTTCCATCTTCTTGTACATCATCAATGTCTACCATCTCATACCTTAAACAGGAATTGCAAGGGATTAGAGTAGTCCATTACTAATAAAATGAGTACTTACCATGACATATAAAACAGAGCAGAAAGTACTATACCTGGACAGTGCTTGTAGTATGGGTATGAACTTGTTAATAAACCACTTCCGATAGTCCGTTATCAGAAGCTTCACTTGGCGATTAAAGGGGCGTGCGGTAGCGAACAGTGGGATGAGAACATCCGAGAAAGAGTGAAACACATTGCCACAAAATCCTGCGAGGGAGAAGATAACTCCCGGAGAATCATGAACTCGAGAGCAATGTGGCAAATCTGGATGGTTTTTTGGCACCACTTTCACTGTCCATTCCCTTACTGACTCCATGGCACCCGCATTGTCATTTCGTGCGTAGGGCTTTATCGTCAACGACGAGGTGACATTGTTGTCGGCCGCTTCAGTTGGGACAACGTAGTATACAATTGGTGGATTGGGATCAATCCTTATATCACCTTTAAGGTCACAGAATTCTGAAATTCCACCCTTCCTGCACATAGCGGACAACGTTCTTTTCCTCTGTTTTAGCTCGACACGATCTGCATATAGGGAGACATCCATGCTAGCTCCGCGTCACATGTCTTGTTTTTTCCAGAGGTCAAACTGCTTCAATTTTTTTTTTTTTTTACGCTAATTACGATTTACGTACCAATGCCGATGCTGGTGGTGGTTTCTTTAGGGATGCCTGTTAGTGTGCGGTTCTTCGTCTTTTTTGGCTTCTTTCGAGAAGAATCTGCAGAGCATGGTAGCAATTGCAGGACACAAATTATGCATCCTATTACCCTAAATAGATCGGAAATGATCAAATACTGCCACACATATTTTATGTTAACAGCTTCAGAAACACATGCTCACGCTGCACAACTAGTTGCTGCTGCCCAGAGCTTCTAGTATCACCATTGGATTTATCATCTGCAAGGGTATCTGCGGAGGAAGTATCCAAATTTTGAGTACCATCAATCCATAGCTGGGTAAGTTAAGTTAATCCGAAACGGCGTATGCTTACACATACTTACTCTTCTTTGCCACTTCAACAATTCCAGGAGACCGTATAATATCCACTGCGAAGATCAAGCCCACGAAAAGATCGATATCAGAAGTACACATGTATACATATATGTACAGTTTCAGAGGAGGTACTTTGAAGTAGTAGAAAGTAATTTTACATGGAGAAGGGAGATTAGCCCATTCCTGAAAGACGGTGCAGATGCTCACAACAATAAGGAGGAAAGTGATCAAGGCCCCTGTTCCCACCATCTTCTGTTCACGTCTGGTGAAACTTCTGCCGAGCAGATTATGGCACTTCTTCATCTTTCTATATCACAGTTTCAGTCGATCCCAGTCTTTTTCTTTCTCATTTTATAACTTCAGAATGGTCACTAGTTGCCGTCTAAGCAATTGCAACAAGATTAACTATGTGTCCAAAGTCGGTGGCTAAAAGGGATTTTACCCGCGCCCTTGGATCTCTCCACAGTCTACTCATCTAATTAATGTTCTGTCTCTGTTTTAACCCTGGCAATAATCACCATTTCAGACGAAATAAAACTGGCACAAGAAGGGAGACACCGGCACAAGCATTAAAATTAGAGACAATCCATTCCACCAAACATATTTTGTACAGAAACAGTAATAATTACCTTTTGGCATGTCACTGCCTTGTTCTTCTATTTGGATCAGATGGTTATGTTAAGAATCAAACCAGAAAAGATAAGAGACACTCGTTTTAAATTGGTTTACCTGAACGTCAAGATTAGTTCATGGAATGAAAGAGATACAACGCTTCCAGTTTTTCTTATTAGTTTGAGTTTTGACCGCTTATTCTTCTTTACAATTTACAAGCTCATATATATAGGTTTGCTAGGACGAACCCTGACTAAATAGACTTAGTATATGGGTAACTATAATTAGGTGACTCGCTCTAAACTACTTTTCTAATTGAAGACCAAGTATAACCAGCGATCGGGTGTAGTATAGTGGAAGTAAAGTAATAAAATTTTCGAATTCTAGGATCTCTAGATATACCATTACTTCGCTTTAGTTTGTTATTTGGCCACACTAGATTTGAAGATTAAGATACTAAACTAAATTAATGGCTATAACAACTACACCGACTATATCACAAGTTGGGAGCTCACTTAGGCATTGATTGCCCCTAGCCACTAACGAGATTGATATTGACGTTCCTAGCTTACACATTCAAGATTTATACCGCAGAGAGTCCTAACCCGCTTGAACTTTCTATTCGAGTTGTCCAAACTCACTTATGATGCAAAAACCGAAGGGAGAGTTTCCATATCTGGGAAAATAGAAAAAACCAGCAGAGTTTTGCCTCCCATCTATGGATTGTTACTCGTGCCCCTAAGGCAGAGTGTTGGTTAGGTGTCTACGAAATATCTAGCATCGCTTCCTATTTATACTAGTTATAGAAGGGGAGGGGGGGGGGGGGATGGGGGGCTGTTTCTAATCTTTTCCTCCTAAAGTTGGCCAAATTCTTTTTTATCCCACTTAAATCGGTTTCCTTCAACTTGTGTGCGAAGTTACTTGTCGAGGAAGTTCGTGGGGAGCTTGGTGGACCCAATATGAAATCATAACATCAATACATATATAGATAAATGAGTACACATTCATACACAATCGAGAAGAAGGGTTCCACCATCGATGATGAAGGCATATCCTTAGTTGCACTCCCTTCTAAGAATGTTAAGATCTCACTCAAATAAAGTCTCTATAGAAGTTTGGAATGAAATTGTGTAACATACTGAACTAACGCGTCTATCACTATTTAAAGAGGTAAAACTCAGCAAAAACCTTCCTAACCCTACTAGGACAAGGTCTCTCTAGCTTGAGGCCAAAGCATGGCCTAAAGATCTTTGTTGGGGTTTGGACCTTGGAGTGGCGGCTGGAACCGCCACTACTTTTCTTTGTGGGCTGGACTCCTTGGCCCATAAACCACCTCTCCTGAAGATTTCGCCGTCTTTTGACCAGGTTTGCTTGGGTGGCGGTTGGACCTGACATTGGTTGTTGCTCCGATTTTGGCCGAGTTTTTCTCTATTGGGCTCCTTTTGGGCTCTAATCGTGGTTCCCAGTAGGTTTCTCTGTCATTGGACATCGTTTTTACACGAAAACTTCATATTCTTCTCTTGTTAGCTCTTTTGGTCCTCCAAAGTCATCCAATGCTTGATCCAAATCCTTTTAGCTTTGTATTTCACCTTGAAAGCACAAAATATACAAAAAGGTATAAAAGGATAGAAAAACACAACCTATGTCTATCAAATGGTCATTGATCAATATAAGAAAAAGTATTAAAGATGCATTAATAAAAGAAAAAGTGTATCAAATGTGATAATGATTCTATTCTATATAATTAGTTGGTACATTTTTTCCCCAATAACTCTCTTTACTGTTTCAGTTTTTTTTCCTTTATTGAAAGGGCTCCCCATCTTCCCAATCCCTCGCTAGGCAAGAGAACTGAAGAAGGACTCCAAAACTGTAAAAAAACAAAAAAGAATTAGGAGGGTTGTCCCATTTCTTTCTGTCGCCCCCTCCACTGCCAAACCATTCTCCATACTCTTCCCTATCCAATCACATCACTCCCAATTTTTCTTCCAATCAACAATCATCTATCCATCTCTCAACTCTGCACCATCAGTCCATCAGTTCTACCTTTCCTTCTCCCATGCCTCCTTGGTCCTTTTTACTTCCATTCATACGTCTCCTCTTCCCATGAAAAGTCCGAAACAAAGCAACCCCTCTTATCCCTTTCTTAATTATTCCCTAAAAATTCAGCGGCCACCTGCAATTCTCGCTTCCTTTTTTTCTCCGCTTTGAGATGTTGCGGAAGAGGATGTGGCGATGATGTCGACATCTGATTGGGAAAAGCCGTGTCGGAAGCAAAACGGGAAGCTCTGGCTTTAATGTTCTTTGTTAATTGATAGCCAAGGCGCCATGAAACCTGTTGACCGAGGAAGCGCCTCTACTGGCCGTCATTGCTCAATCGCAACCGGAGTTGGTCGTCAGCTGCTTAGTTCAGCGAGGGGAGACAAAGACAGGTCTGTCGGGCAGAAATTCGGGTACAATACCTAGCTAGCTTGATCAATTTTTTTTGTCTCAACTGGGTCAGCTTTACTAATGTTTCGTCGCGGTGGTGGTCGGTTCCTGTTTGCAGTGGCCTGAACGACAACTACTCAGTCTCTTCCGCACACATATTCCCGACAGACGACAGGTATTGCTACCACCAACCAACGCCGGTTGGTATTTGCGTTGGTGGAGTCTATTGTATACTTCGCTACCCCACTCCACCGTTATAGAAACAAAACTCCACTCATCATTTTCCCTGCACCTTTCAGTTTTCCTCTGAAGCGGAGCGAATGGGAAAGCGCTGGAAACTTAGAGGAAAAGAGGGCGAAAAATGGCATCAACCAAGATAAGTAAGATGAGTTCTCAATGTTTGGAAATCTCAACTCAAGTGCTCGGTTTCATCACGTGTTTTCTTGGTATTTTTTGCTTTTGCCTCTCCTTTCTTATTTCAGTCTTTTCCTGACTTTTCCTAGGGTGTTCTGCTGCAGTGCCTTGCATTAAGGCAATTCTCTGCTCACTTCATAGAAATTCTTGCTCTTAGTACGTGCTTCATGTTATAGTGTGCACAACATTAATCAAGTAAACTTCTAATGTATCCTCTCCCTTGGTTGTTCTTATGTTCTTTGCCTTAAACTTATGGCGAGAATCCATCATAGGCACCACGGCAGACCGACTGCAATGAGTTCCCTTTGATGTCTCTCTTTAGGAGCTTCGTTTGTAACACCCCCTGCAGAAGTGAAATCTAGACAACTCACTGACCATGGTGGTTTATGTTGGGATTGAGATCGTTTGAGACTAAGATCCGCCATCTCTATTGTCCATCATTTTTTCCAGCACCTTCACTCTCAAACTCAGTTTATGTTCGTTTTTACAGCAGTAGATAGCTGAAACTGGTGTCTCGCATGGCGGTTTAGGTTGGTGTTGAGTTCGTTTAGTTTAAGTATATTTGTTTCTTCGTTTTTTATAGATGGAGTCTTACTCTAATTTATTTGCTTTTTTCTTCATATAACTATATAATCCAATCTGGGTATTACTTGCTTGGATTCATTAATTCACTGATTCTTTTGTCCACTATCTTTTGGTCAGTAGTTTATCTTCCACACTCAATTGAAGGTAAGAGCAGCAGGCTTGGCGACATGGTGGATGTGAAATGGTCTTATGCTTTAGCATATCTTTGGCCAATTTATAATCAGGTAGCCTAAGCTAGGTACTACTGGTATAATTGTTCCAACAATTTTTTTAATGGTTATAAGGGTTTGTTTTCTTGGATTTGTCTTATTCGTTTGGTACAATTGGGGTTTCTTTGGCCCCAGAAGATCAATGTCCTTTACCTCCCATACAGAAAAGGTAGTGATTCCCTTAATAGTGGTGGACCGGAATCTAGAGACCCATGAACCATATGGGAAGATCAAGTTGCACTTGCCAGAGATTTGAGCCATCCTATGGTGATGCAGGTCTCAATCTTCTAAAATGATTTAACCATCCTGCCGTTCATTGTAAGGAAGGTCTGAGTTCGTTCCACAACATCAATCGCCAATTTAGGTTTTGAACTATTAGGATGAAAGGAAGAAATATATGAGGGAAGATTGGACTAGAAATTGATTGGTTGTGGTCATGTTTCTTCAAAGTTTTTGGATTATAGGAGTTGAAAGAGTTTTAGGGGACATTGGGAGATAAAAGGACATGTAGTTTTTATATAGAGTTATTCAAACTAAAACATTTGATATGCGTGTCTGCCTGATCTGAAACTGTATTTGTCTTGCAAAAATACCCATCATTCAATCAAATGGAACAACCTATCAAAGAATCACTTTTGAAGCATTGTGAAATCATTATCGAAGTGTAAGCAAAGTTACTTAGTCATGAACTTCGTGGCATTGATTATTTGGCTTGCAAGAGTTTGCTTTAGCTGCACAATAGAACCAAAATAACAGAGATATATGTTTCTCACAGAATCAATGCACTTCCATTTGAACTTGAGCTTACTTTCTATAATCACATAAAAATGTAATGAAACACATTCCTCCTACTATGACATTATGAGATTTGCAGAGAAACAACTTACTTTCCTAGGCTGAAAATTGAACAGTAATAAAGTCATGCCTTGGACAATAACAGAAGGATCTAAGGGCTAAGCTAATTTGAAAGAGTTTAGTTCAGTAGAGAGTAATTTAGTTTGCTTTCATGACTACTAAAACGGCTAAATTGCAAGTTTGGTCACTAGAATTACTAAACAATTTCACGTTTGCCACTAAAATTAATTTATTTCATTAATGGTCACTAAGATTCGTTCAAAGGTTCAAGTTTGGTCACTCTCCGTTAGTCTCCGTTAACTTTTTCTTATGTGGCAGTCAACTCTAATATTTGACCATTAAAGAGTGACGTGGCAATTAAAAAATAATAAAAATAATAATTTTTTTTTAAAATTTTCCACCTCATTATCTTTCTCTTCTACTAATTCCCATATCCCAGATCTGAATTAACGATAATCAGTAATCGCCGCCGTGGTGGTGGTTTCGGTGAACATCATCTTCCTGGGATGGAACTACATCAGAGAAATATAGGGATCTTAAGAATCATTCATTCATGTCTCGGCGCCACCATGAATATGAATGAATCATTCATTCACCGAAACCACCAAAACCATGGGCATGAAATTTGGGGAAGGGGCGGAGGTTAGATCTCGTCTTGATAGTTGGGGTTTAGACTTTGCAATAATGGAATGGGTGGAGATTGATGGAGGATGCGAAGACGAAGAAGGAGACTTTTTATTTTTTATTTTTTTTTCTAACGGTTTCTTTCATATTCATGGAAGTGGAGGTTTCACTTCACTGGTTGGAAAAGCAAAGGGAATTCGGGGGTCACGTTCACTGCATCTTCACGCATTTTCTACGAAATCCAAGCCCGGTTGCACCTCTACGCCATCGTCGTCACCGTCGTCTACTTTTGCTGGCGCCGATGAATTGTTCGTCGCCAGAGGAGGAAAAGAAGTGGAAGAAGGGCACATCTGTCTCGGTTTGGAAATCGCCTTAAGCGGAGGAGAAAAAGAAGATGGAGAGGGCGCATCTGTCGTCTTCTTTCTTTAGTTCCATTTCCATTCTAGCGCTCCGGTCCTTGCATTCTGTCGGAAACCCTAGCTCGCCGGAGGGATGTGAAGCCGCCTTCAGCGGCGTTGAGTTCAATTAACTTGAAGTCGAGTTGCTGCTGCCGCTCTCTGTTCCTTCTGCTGGAATGTTTGCTGCTAGCTTAGTTGGTTAGGGGTTCAACAAGGGCATGGGAGAAGACAGTGAGAGGGGTGAGGTTAGTTGGAGAAGAGAAATTAGATTTTATTTTTTAGTGAATGGGATAATGACGTGGAGAATAAAAAAAATTACATTTTAAATTTTTATAATTTTTTAATTGCCACGTCACTCATTTAACGGTCAGCTATTAGAGTTGACTGCCACATCAGAAAAAGTTAACGGAGGCTAACGGAGAGTGACCAAATTTAAACTGTTGAACTAATCTTAGTGACCATGAATAGAATAAATTAATTATAGTGGCAAACATGAAATTTTTTAGTAATTCTAATGACCAAACATGCAATTTAACCCTACTAAAACGATACATAGATTACTAAAGATGATCCTATATGTTTTTTCCTGCTTTTGAACAAACCCGTCAAAAATCAATTCATAGTCAAAATATATTAATGTCACAGTAATTACACTGACTTTGTGAGCACTACTACTATGCTATATAGTATTGGTGCTTTAATGTACAACTTGAAGTTGTACTATAACATTAAATGTATAAGTTTAGTTTGTACCATAAAAGAATTTGTATCATTATGTTATGGTACAACTTTACAACTTGAAGTTGTACTATAACATTAAATGTATAAGTTTAGTTTGTACCATAAAAGAATTTGTATCATTATGTTATGGTACAACTTTACAACTTGAAGTTGTACCATCACATAAAGGTACAAGTTTAAGTTGTACCATAAAAGAATTTGTACAAAAAGTACAGGTACAATCTGAAGTTGTACCATAACGTTAAAGATACAATTTCAAACTGTACCATAAAGACAAAAACCTATAGCACCAATACTATATAGCATTGTAAAATTCCTCCTGACTTTGTTGGGGAACTCAAGTTGGTGTACAAGTGATTGCTGCGATTTTAAAACAATTGATATGTTTGATTTCCCGTCCATTCATTATGTTAATTATTAGAGTTGTTATTGGAATTGTGTCATTAATTCTTCTTATTGTCGTCACCTAAACTGGCCACCATATGATCATATGCCGATGCAAATTAAGTTCCTGCGGCGTTGCGCAGCCGTCGCGGACATTAATTCTAGTACTACTCTAATAGGAGAATGGTATGAAGTACAAAATGATACTACTGTCGAGACTCGGGGAGATATAATATCCAGAAGATATAATTCCATCCAACTTTTGAAAGCTTTAAGAGTGAAAAAAAGAAGCTTTATAGATTATAGAAATTCTAGAGAGGAGGACATAGTATTCCTTATTGGTTAGGGGTGCTAATACTTCATTTGTTAGCAATTAGCATAGTACTAATAGTAATAGTATCTTAAACCAATGGAATCATCATATTTTGATAATGTTTTATATTTGAAGGGTTAAATACAATTAATATTGATCTTAAAGGGAGGGAGACGATTTTAATTTTAAAAGTTAAACTCTTATTCGCTCCACGTCTCGTTCTTAGCTAACGAGGGCGGATCTGGTGACAAGGGGGGTGCTTAGTCACTTGACTAAACCCTTCCCAGCCCTTAGATCTGGACACAACAATCTGACGGTTAAAAAGCGGGAAGAGTTGTTTAATTAATGAAAGGGGTAGTTTGGGTATTATAAAAATTACGAAGTATACAAACCGGATTTACAAACAGTACAAACCATACAAACATACGAACAATACAAACTAGAGCGACAAAACATACAAACAATACGAAACATACGAACTATACAAACAATACAAACTAGGCCGACAAACATTAAAAAACATACTAACAGTACAAAATGTCACTACTTACAATACAAAACAATAAACTTGTATCACAAATGATTGAATACAAAGTATACAAATCAGAACATAAAGTACACAAACTAGACAAACAAACATTAGAAATTACAATGTATACAAATTAGTCATATAAACATTACAAACATAATAGATAAAAATGACAAACTAGAATGATAAACGATAAAAACCGAATTGATACAAAATCACAAAATTGATAACGATGTAATTGCACATATTTGCACCCTAGTTCTTATCCGTTTGAGGGGCATAGTTGTGTATTTTTTTGCCTATTTTACGCCGGGTTGTGCTACTTTGTCATATTTCAGGTCTCAGACGTCGAAGGAAAGGCTAAGCACGAGTTTCGGGGCATTCGGAAGTCATTCGGTCGAGCTGGAGCCAAAACACGGGCACGCCTAAATCAAAGCACGGCCGTGTTCCTGGACCGTGTTTTTACTGCCGAGGCTTAATCCAAGACTGTCAAACACTAGCTCAAAACACGGGCGAGACTGACCAAAAGCACGGCCGTGTCCACCAAAAGCACGCTCGTGTTTTCCCCCAAAGGCTGGCCGTGTATTTACCACGTGGCAAGGGCACGGGCAGGCTGGAGCAAAACACGGCCGTGCACTCGACCGTGTTTTTCCCAGTGATGCCCTTTTAGACAGATTTCAGCCAAAAGAGAAGGGGATTCGAGTTTTAGAGAGATAGACCGATTCCTAGAGAGAGAAAGCGACGAACAAGAGTTCCCAAGTGCCCTAGCTTGATCTTCATCACCATTGGAGCTTGGCTTGAGCTTGGAGGAGTGCCGATCAACGTCCAGGAGCAGAAATCCATCCTTCGCAGTATGATTTCCGCATCTGAATCTTCTTTTGCTTCTTTCTCCATGGAGTAGTTCTCCCATTCATCTGGGTATGGGAAACCCTAGATTTGTATGTTAGGTTTGATTGTATGAACCCAAGTACTGATTCTATGATTTGATTATATTCAATTGAGGTTTGAATGATTGAATGGCATGAATCCTGATCAAATTCCTGTTGTTTCTGCTTTAACCTAGAATGAGAATATCTGCCTAGGTTGACAGAGCATCCTTGATTGAAGGTAGGGAGTTGGTGACTTTGGTAGAGGAGCCAACTCACTATTCTGTACCGAATTCACTTCGGTAGTGGAGGTTTTGTTTGTTAGGGCCTCAATCTGTTTACTCCGGTGGAGGTTAGTCGCCCGCTGGAGACTCAGATTGAGAGGGTCTGAAGACCTTTAGTCGAGACTTCAGACTGTTTAAGAACCTTCCGCAGTATAACTATCATAGAAACTGAACTTGGTAATTGCAATCCGGCTTAACTGCAGTCTAGGAGGAACCATATCCGGGTGACCTCTCTTAACCTGAAAACAACTGTTTAGTTGCTTTGCTTGTTTGTTAGTTTAGACTTGCACTAAAGTTTCATTGCTAGATAACAAGAATTCACCGAGTAGTCATCAAATCTAGGACCCGGGTTGACATTAAAACCCAAACCCGCTATACTACACTTTAGGAAGTTGTTACACTTGGCCAATTCCTAGAGTGACAGTAGGAGTGAGTCAAGTTTTTGGCACCGTTGCCGGGGACGGCTAGGTTGTTGAAGAAAAGTGATTTCTGTTAATTTAGCTTTTCTTTTCGCATTGTTTGCTTTGTCCCACTTGTGCCTTCACGGGTTTGCTTGCTTGAGTGTGTGCAGGTAGTGCATGACCCGTAGCCAATCGGGAGGTTTACTGCCATTGAATCCGGAAATTGAACGCACCTGTCGCCAACTCAGGAAACAACAGCGAACTAGACTGGCTACGGAGGAGCGCATAGACGGCCACTTGAGCAGCGATTCTGAGGAAGAATACGGGATGGAAGGAAATTACAATCCAAACCAGGGGAATCCTCAGCAGGCTCCCCCGGTGAATCAGGTCTTGGGGAACAACCCCATACCCCAGGCAGATGGGGTTCATCATCATCCACCGCCGCCGGGTCCCACCTTGGAGTACTACTACACTCCACGGATCGCTGACATCCGCCCGGTCATCCTCTACTCGCCTATTCCAGCGAACAACTTCGAG